CCTGAAATTCTCCAGTCATAAAATCTTTTACAAAAATTCATCCTACAACAGTTTACATACTTTCAACCACGCTCTAAATGCTCGCGATTTCGCGGGTGTGTTCTAGTGTAAATTTCGCAGTTTCGTATGAATTTGCAAGTCTAGACAAACAATTTAACCTTTAAACAAAATATTGATAGCTAATTGTTTTACTTAATCTTTAAGACTTAATATTGCTGATAATATTTGACGTAAAGATAACAGTTAAAACTCAGCATATGTTACAAAAATGTACATGTCTTGATATGGTGCGTGATATTTAAAGGTATGTGTGTTCAACATAGGATTTAACAATAGCACTAAATCTCTAAAATTTTAACACCACACTTATAAAACATCCCATTATAAAATCTATTCAGATAGCAAAAAAATATAGCACCATGGTAATATAAGGCCCTGGAGAGAACAACATAAAGTTCTTCATACATATTTGAATTCCGCAGATGAACTGTGTAGATGACTTCGGCCCAGTGTACACATATTGTAATACCTTTATCATTTGTGGTAGCTATAAGGGGCATTTCAATAAGCTTTTCTCACTCATGCATCATACCTTTAAACCTTTTGGAGCTTCAAAGATGGAGGGTATGCATGACGGCTTTTTTTCTTTCTTTTTTCCTTAAATGTTTTGTACGGAGGTTGAAAGCCTCTTGGGGTTGAAAGGTGGGCAGGGCACTTCACATGTATTGAGTCCCTGGAATAAATAGCTATTTAAAGCATCATACTATGTGATAGTTTTAAGACAGTTAGAATAATTATATCAAATAAGTATATGAAATATTTAGATTTTTTTAAAGATAGAATTTAAACCACATTCTTAAATGTATAAGATATTTGACAAATTAATATTTACTCTCCGTCAAATAGTTTTACAAAGCTATAGGTCAATTTTTTAATATTCAAAATATATGAATGTTCAGCTTTTCATCCCTAACATAAAAAAAAATATAGAAGTGCACCCCCTGTTTATGAACCTATGTATAAAAACAATATTGGAATAAATATATACGTCTTTGACATCTACATTTATTTATACCTTGTATCGTTTTTGCTTAAAACCGTAGTATATTAATATTAATTTGTCTTTTTATGAGATTACTAGGCAGAATACATATACGTAACATTCATTTTTTTCAGAGTGGCAATCATTAAAATTATCAAAGTACAAAATCTAAAATCCGATCTTTTATACTACATTTATATATAAGATAATGCATATTTAGGTCTTTTCTGTGGAAAGACATATTGTATTTGTTCTGATTATTATTCTTTTTTAATTTTTTTTCTTCCGCCAAGTTTTGTTCTGGCGATAAATTTTTGTTTCGCAATATGTCGCTTAGATATTTCTTATATTGTATCGTACAGTGTATGCGCTTTTAAATTTCACCCTGCTAAGTCGAACAATTTTCTTTGTAAGAGTTATCTCCCATTTCACTGTTTATCTTGTGTTTTCATCTCCTTTGAAACAAAAAAGGCATCGACAAAATTCTTTTTCTGAATTTTCGTTACATTCTCGGGAATTTTTGGCTGATTTAAATCGAAGTGATCCGGTGAAATCTTAAAGGAGTTATCTACCTTTACCAAATTAATTTGTCGTTATGTTTTTTTAACTCATAAACCGTAAGCTGTATAAGCCTATTCATTTTATTTGAAGGTCCATGGCTTCTAACTTAGAAATTTAGGTCAAGGTCAAAGGTCAAGGTCATTTTCAATATTTTGAATTTTGCTTGTTTTTGCATTTTCTCTGACACTTTTAAAGTTATATATAAAAGAACTAGTACAAAATGTTTGCTTTATTGTGATGAAGATATGATACTTTTGGTCTGAAACAATCCAATGACGTCTTATATGAGTTATGGTCCCTGAAATGATTTAATTTAAGGTTAATTTATTATTACTCCAACTTGGTACATAATAAAACCATAGGGTCTTTTGCACACTCTTGGTTGACAAATGACCTTGAAAAATTTCAAACCGGAAGTAGCCAGTTTTGCACTTTTTTCACGAAAAAACACCTAGAAACTATATATGTTTTTAAATACGCTTACAGAAACCTATCATTTGAGACCGGAAGTGACCTTAAACAAACCGAAAGTACATAATATCTCCCTTATTACAGGCAAAAGTATATAAAAACCATATATTTTTGGAATCAGTGTGAATAAAGCTATCATGTGAGACCAAAAGTGACATTTTAAAACCGGAAATTGACACTTATCTCCCTTATTACAGGCATGAATATATAGAAACTAAATGTTTATTTAATCAGAATGCCAATAGTTACTTTTTGTAAACCGGAAGTAGCTTCTCATCAATAATTTGGAAAATTGATGTGGAAAGACATTCAATTGTTCTCTGAACTATTGGTTTTTAATTTTATTGAGTTTTTTTTTTCTTTTGTTTAATTCATATTTCAAAATTTAAATCAAACTTAATTTTTACTTAAATTCTTTAAATTTCAGTTTGGTCTTAGGAGTCTAGTCATGACAAAATCAAATATGCTATATATTTTTGGAAAATCACATCAGTCATGGTAATTTTCAATTGTTTTTCCTGAGGGTTGTCTTTCATTGCTAATGTTTTGTGACTTCCTGAAGTAACTGTTTTACTATTTTGATGTAAGATTTTAATGTAAGACAGTGTCCACATTCGCCTACCAGATAACAATTTTTGGCATATGCTCCTGCTGGCCCCAACCAGAATCCACCCACACACACATACAACCACACACACACAGTCATTATCAAAATAGGCCCATCATACAACACAAGTATGTGTCCACACTTTTGTCTTAAAAAAGAATGAACAGCAAAGTCAGTAATTTGTTCTAAAAATCAGAGCCTGAACTGTTTCTCTCATAACACTGAATCATACAATTGTTTTTTAAGCATATGGAAAACCTAGACGGCATTGTAAAAAACTTAACACACTGCTATTTATCATCAAAGCACAAAACTCTTATATGTATCAAATACAAAAATGTATGGCATGTCTTCAAGTCACAAATAAACTGTGCATTATATACAAAAATTGAAACAATCTAGAAATGAGGAACAGCGCAACGAGGATATGGAGAACAACATTTGAAAACTCCTAAAATTAGAACTGAAACGGATCAGAAAAATTATAAGTATGATTAACAATGTCTATATTATGAGAGTACAATATATCCTGTATAATAATCGCATTTACAGATAAAGAATGGAATACGAAATACCATACATTGACATAAATCGTAAATTGAATTATATAAAAAAAGCATAGAAGATATAATTAAAATCTAAAAACGAAACAATTTTTAGAAAAAGGAATTGTAGGAAAATTGTAGGAGAAAAGGAATGTTCTTTTTTGGTGCTGTCAAAACTTAAGGGACCTCTGATTTTATCAATTTGATATACGAGACATAGGATCCTATATTATTCAAAATACTAATAATTGAAGACCTTGACATTTGAAATGTACTATAAAACAGGTCATTGACTTTTTTCTAAATTTGGTTAAAGTTTATAGTTGTGTTTTACGATTGCTTATGTCATTGCCGTCTCGTGAGGCAATATCTAAAGGCCATAACTATGAAAAAAATATAATAAACAAGAAACAATAAAACTGACAATTTTCGATTTAAACTTTTAACATGTGAATGCCAAGTGTACTATTCACGAGCATGTTTTTTATTATTCACCACACAAGGCGCCCAGGGACCACAGTTTTGAGTCGGGAGACAGCAGACCATTAAAGCCTGTCCAAACAAAGTTTGGAATCAACAAAGAACGATTGATTTATTGATTGATTTTTCGTTTTTAAGGCCACATTTAGCACTATAAGCTATTTCCTGGATGTAATTTTGTATAGATAGAGGAGACCGGAGTTCCCGGAAAAAAAACCCACCGACCTTAGGTAAGAAAACTGGCAATCATACGACTAGTTAATTAAGATTGGAGTCGAATGCACCTGCCACGTGTTTGGTTTGAACTCACAACCATAGTGTTGACAAGCTAGTGATACAGTAAATGAACTACTAAGACAACTTGACCATCGAGACTCACAGCAGAGACCAAGATTGAAAACTAACATAGTACATGTACTTCCTCTAAGATACGAAATAGGGTGGGATTTTTGATTTTCTGTGAAATTCTGTATGCATTTTAGAACTAGTTGAAAAAATGACATATAAAACATTATACTTACTGAGAAATTGCAAATTCTTAATGTTTCCTTTTTTCATGATATGGGGTCAACGAATTTTTTTTTCGGCAGAAATGAATTAGTTTCCTATTTCGAGATTAAAAATAAGAACTTAAAAACGATAATAAAAAAAAGTAAATTACCATTGGCTTCAGCATAAAATGGATAAATAAAACTGTCGCTCTAAATGTTGTAACCTGTCACAAACATATGCACAGCACCTTGTAAGATTTAAGGATGTTCGATACTCTATTGGAAAATAAAAAGCTTTTTAAAAGACTTTTCTACATTATTAGTATGTATATAACATGTATAACGGAACTTAAAAAGCAGAAAAAAATGCAAGGTCCGTGTCCTTGTTTTTGATATATAAGCCATTGAAAATTTGAAGGGAAATTATTCTTTCCAGATTTTTCATACAGTTATCATTGATACACCCATTGATGTATTAAACTCATTTTATTTTGGAGTGGAACTTAAAGCAATTACTTTTCCAGTTCAAACGAATATTAACATATTAAAACTGAAACAATAACTTGATGAGATACTAGTAATATGTTTTCTTATTTTGTCAAAAGGTTGATTACATTTTTACTCTACCGATTTTGTCCATGTCACGATTTCGACATTTGGATTGAGTATGGATTCACATGCCGGGTATTGCATGCAAAGCAGGAGACGTTTTCCCTGTCGACGCACCCGGTCTCGCTCCTTTTCGAGTTCATGCAATTCCGTCAGTTTTTATTCTGCTCAATCCATTTAAATTTCAACATCAGTAAAGTACTATAATTGCATTTATTTATATCATTAAACAATATATATGTTAAGAAACACAGTAATTGTTTTTTCATGATATTGATATTTTGCTGTTCGAAATTTCAGTTTTAATTTCTTTCTATAACTTGTTAAATTACAGGTCTGAATACATATTTTCTCAGATTCTCGTCGAATCTACATGCGTTGAACAAAAGATGTTCTAGGTCAAGGTCGGATCGTCTTGGAATTTCAATATATGTTGTTCTGGCGTCGGTAACATCTTTTACGTTGAAACCTGAGTATCCCAAACCTTGAAAAAAGACAAAATACAAACATTATATATGAAATCGTAGAACGAAACGAACGAAAAATCCTATGACAATACGGTATATACAACCTACAACAGAAATCGGATAATATGGAGAGGTCCACTTGCAAGTTAAAATCGACCCTAGGCTCAATAGTTGAGCACAGAACTCTCTCGGATTGTAATAAACAAAGCCGGGTTCCAAATGGGAATCAACATCTGTACAACAGCAATCATTTGACAAGTTAAAGAATGTACTTGTTGTTGAACGTGTGATGTCGTATTTTGACACCAACAAATAAGCGATGCTGATAGTAGATGCAAGTCCCGTTGAAGGAGCTACAGTATTAACACAAAGTGAGAAAATAATCCCATATGCCAGCCGATATTTAACAAATGTTGAAAATCGCTATTCGTAAACAGAAATGGAAGCATTGGCAATTGTTTGGGCGATTGAACACATTTATTTGTACAGACGATCTTTTGGTGTCCGATCACCAATCGCTTGAAACTATCTTCAATAGGTAAAAACATCGTCCTGCATGGAACAATTGAAATTCCGATTACAACAGTACAATTACCATGTCAAGTACAAACCTAGAAAGGTGAACGCGGACGATTACTGATCAAGACATCCGACCCCGACTTCATCTTTTGCATGTAAACATTCTCAATTAGCAGAAAAATACGTCAGATACTTGAATAACAACGCTATGCCAAAGGCAATGACACTTAATGATAGGGACCTAAACACCGTTATAACCGCATAAAAGTTAAACAGGTAGAAATGCCATGACAGCGCTGCACTTGATAGATTCTTAAGCCTACAATACGAAATATTAATCGTTCCCGTTTATGAAAACAGAATCATTATTCCAAAGGATTTACAGATGCGTGTTATCGACATAGTACACGAAGGGCACCATGGCATAGTAAGTACAAAACAGTTGTTACGTGAAAAGGTATACTTCCCAGGAATAGACATACTTGTTGAACAAACGTGTGTAAATCATGTTTAGCGACAACCCAAAAAAATGTATTACAACCGGTGCAATTGTTCGATTTAAAAAATGTATGGTAAAAACTGAGTATGGACTTTTGTGGACCGTTTCTAAATGGCTATTACATAATGATAATAAATGATGAATAGTAAAGGTATCCTAGTCTGTAATAGAAACCTGAACAAGTCTGACCACTTCTAAATACTTTTTGTTCCATTTTTGGAATAAAAAAGGAACTGAAAAGTGACAATGGACCGCCATTTAGTTCACAAGAATTCAGAAATTTTGCGGATAATATAGGATTTAAGAACAGAAAAATCACACTGTAATGTAACGCAGAAAGTGAACAATTCATGAGAACAATAGGGATTTGCAGCTCAAATGGAGCATCGTAGCTGGAAGCAAGAAATACATACATTTCGTCGCAACTATAGACCGACATCACACGTAACAACAAATCTCATTTAGAAGATCATCACAAGAAAAACAATCACCAAAATATATCGATGGGTATGTGCGATTAAGAGCTGTGGTACAGGCATAATAATATTGTGCTTTGTCTGATGTATCAATGAGGCTTGATATTGATCTATTTATTTGTGATTTTATGATACAAATCATTTTGTGGAATTCAATATTCACGCTCGTTATGATAGCCTCTCAGATTGATCAGATGATCCACTGAATTATATTGAAACTATCGTACGCGTGCCGAGTAATTTATATTTTTCACAGGCTGCAAATTTCTAATTTTCTATTGATATCATTTTATGCATTTTATCACTTTAATTTGTTTGCACAGACTGTTAAAGGTTGTATGACTACATATACCATTAAAAATAAAAAAAGAGACGTAGGCAAAGTGTAATATACGAGCTCTGGGATTGAACTGGACTTAACTCTCTTCTCTATGGTCGGGTTGTTGTCTCTTTGACATATTCCCCATTTCCATTTTCAATTTTATTGACTAGAAAGATTTAACCTTTTTATCAAAACACATCTTCTTCATTCTTTTAACTGTATCAACTTTACATGAGTATTTTTTAATAGGGCACATGTTTATATTTTAATGCCATTCGCTTTGAAAACATCAGATAAGTTATTAAAAACCATCTTATATTAAACATAACTGCTTGTTTTAGACGCAATTTAATTTGTCATTAAGACAATGTTATTTAAATTATTTCACCAATTCTTGTGTTCAATTAATTCTGTTTGTATACATTGAAAGACAGTTAAGATAATTAAAACGTTCAAAAACAAAATAAAATAAAACAAGGTGATAAATGTATTACATTGTGTAGTACAAAGATAACAATACACTATTTGTCCTTGTATCTGCCTTATGTAATAAAATTGATACTAACATTCTAATTCTAACTAAATAGATAAAAATATCTGTTCTGGAGGTAGAATATCATCAATTAATGCTACTTCTTTAATATGACAGCCAGATTATAAATTCAAATGATGTTATTGAATACAACAGCATCAACATCAAAACCAAATAAATAACAAATAAACAAATAAAAAATAAGTGCATGTTATCAAAATGAAAAAAAACAAAATGAAAGTCCAGTCTATATTCCAGTTAAGTCCAGATAATACACTTTTCCAGTGATGTTATATTGTGATATCATACATCATTTGTACATTCATTCATTAAAAGTTATATAGTTCATAGTTTACACACGTGTTATGCATGTAATCAAAATGAATAAACATTTGAAAGTCCAGTCTTTTGTCCAGTCTAGACTGATTATACACTTTTCCGGAGATGTAATTAACACACGTGTTGTGTTGATAGACATAGCAGATAGGATGCATCGTATTGCAATATGTATTAATGTTGAATACTTAGCTCTAGTATTATATTACAGTATGTTAACAAGTGCACACGTCTTCTCTTACTATCAATATATATATATATATATATATATAGGCTACAAATGTTACACTGTGTTTCGTTGTATTAAATATTTGTCTGCATGTTATCACTCCTTATCAAGTACAAACAAGTACAGAAACGTCTATACATAACGTTCTTATCAATTAAAACTGTTAACAGATTCACAAACATGTAAAACTGAATGTGTTTCTTACCTTTATGTATATCTCAGTAATGGACAGTAATGCCAAACATACAATTAAGAAATCCCGTTTTTAAACAAGCAGACAAATGCACAGTGACTACCGGCAAATTGAACTTAAATAGTTTAGATAGCACGTACGTGTATGTATTTAATTTATAATGAGATGATCGAACTTTCTCCCAACTAAATATCTTAGAGGCTCTGGAGGAGGTCCTTATTTTCTGTACAATGAACAAATTCAGTTTTTAAACAAGTGGGTGGTAAAATAATCTTATGGTGAAAAACGATAAATTGATCTAAAGTAGTTTATATATCATGTACATGTACATATTTGAGATACAATGATTTTGATATACTTTCTCAATAATTGATATGAGGGTCTGCACGGGGTTTACATAATAGAGCGTTATGGGCAAATTCTAGAGGAAAATGGGCCAAAAAATTGTAAAGAATGTCAATGGGGAATAATAGGCAAAGTATGTAAAGAAAATGGAAAAAATGGCTCAAGAATTTAAAAAGAACATAAAGAAATGGCTTAAAATTTTAAATAATACAGAAATAAAAGACTTCCCATCCACATCCTTATACAAACGTTGACAATTTAACCGACGGTAATTACTGTCCTTGAATATCAGATAAGCGGTTTCTCCTCATTATCCATTAATTGTCCTTTTTATTTGTAAACGTTTACAATTTATCAATCATATTTTAACTGCAAACACTTATCACTGAAAAAATACATAGTATGTTCCTTTATTACAAACCAGTAAAAGTCTGAAATGGCCTATATCTATACTCGACTGTACTGATTTTTACTCGTCCAGTCTGATTTGGTCTGAAATTTACTTGACATTACTCGACTGTAGTTTGGGCCATACGTAACAGTCTTAACATGTAAATCTATTAACATGTACTCGACCTTTTCTTGACCTATACTTAACCATTTTATACGTGTCTGAACCATACTCAACGTAGTCTTAACCATTCTCGACCAAGTCTGAATCATACTCGAACTAGTTTGAACCATACTCGACCAAGTCGTTACCAACCTAGACCTATTTTGTATATCAATCTATTATATATCATCAATTAAGAACTATTTTAACAGCAGATATTTCCCTCGGCTAGAAATTTGAACAACACTTTGAAATCAAAAATGTATTTGATATAGCATTGAAACCAAAATTTAACAATAAACATAATATAATCATCAACACCATATTCCTCAACACTAAACACTTATACATATATCTGTATATATACAAATCTAAATTGAAAACAACGTTCAAACCTATGATTGCGTTGGATAAAAACCGCAATTTTTATACGTTTGCATGCAAAACAAATTTCTTGGTAGAGGGGTCTAAATACAGCACAAACAACAATTTCCAAAAGACCAAAAAATGTGAAAAAGTCTATTTTAACAAAACGCATTTGACTAACAGGTCGAACAACTGATGTTCTTAAACCCTGCTGACTGCCATTGGCGATTGCCAAATAAATTGATCACCAGATCTAACGAAATGGATCTAAATATTAATTCAATACCAAACAGAAAACAATAAACTTGTGGAAAAGATAGTATACCACAAACATGAGGTGCAAAAATTTGTACACCATATCCGGATTTCGACAATTAATGTCTCTTCAGTGATGTTAGGGATCGAAACGGTATTTGGAAGGCCATATAATTTACCTCAATATATATGTATATATATATATAAACATAGGAATGCATGGCAAATTATTTGCATTAGTCAAGCACAGAGGGGTTATCGAATATGATTGGAAAATTTGAACCAATAAGAAAAGATTATCATTAAATAGAAAACAATATTTAATGGATTATTGATACGAATCAACTAATCATTGTCAATCGAATATGGGACGAAAATATCTAAATTTCCAG